TTGGTTTTAGTCCGGATCATGATCTTGTGGTCGTGCGATCAAGCCCCGAGTCAGGCTCTGCACTCAGCACAGAGTCCGCTTCAGATTCTCTCTCCCTTCTGCTCTTGCTCACTCTCTCATAGATAGATAGATAGATAGATAGATAGATAGATAGATAGATAGATAGATAGAATTTGCATTTCTAACTAGTTCCCAGATTTGATAACTGATGTTGTTGGTCTGGGGGCCACACTTTGAGAACCACTGATGGAGAGTTATTTTCATTGAGTCGGAAAAAATTCACAAGGCATTGTTAAGTTGAAACAAAGCTGTTTACATTATATTCTATATGTATATATACAGAAATGTAGATGGGAAAATATTGTGGAGTTGGTATTATTCCTGGTTGTCTTTGGGATCTCATTGTAGATTCTTAATGTCGCCTACATTCTGAGTGACAGGTTTCTCTGTAAGAAGAGTATTAGCCACTGAAACATAATCAACTTCCTTAATTTGAAAAATAAGATCAGGAAGTCCTGGTCAATAGCACTAACAAGCTGGAAACATCAAAGCAGGCTTGGTCTTAGATCCCCTCTGTCTTCTGTGTCTTGTCAGGAATGTCTCTTCAGAAGCAGTCATAGACAGAGGAGCAGTGATGGGCTCACAGATATATCCTGTTCCTGATGGGTACAAAACCAGAGGAGGCTGGTGTTACAGGAGGGCTTCTACGCTTTTTCTTACTTCATTTTAGTTGTGCCACGCAGGCTTCTTCTGGAGATGTTTGAAGAAAAACTGGGTGGGACCCAAAGGGCGACCTGCCAGAAGCTTGAAGCATCTGGATTGGCGCACTCTTTGTTTCCTGACGCAGGGTAGATCCATTTCCCAGAGTATCAGATTAAGGCGTCTCCTTTCTGGAAAAAAGATTTCATGGTTTAAATTCCCGTTGACTTTTGTGTCTGTGGCACTTTGCTGTCTCCGTTCCAGCATGCAGCCTCGGGGGTCATGATGTCCCTAGCCCGCTGATATCAGTGTGCCGACTGGTGTCATGCACATGGAGCACAGAGCCGCCATTCAGCTTCCACAGTCTGGGTTCAGGAAGCCAAAGAGCTTCTAAGTTCCTACAAACCTTGACATCTTCCTCTAGCCTTGCATGTGCGAAGCAATTCTCAGGAGGCAGGGGTTATACGGAGGGAGGGAGAGGGAACGAGGGTAAATGTCAAGGGTAAATATGTGATAGGAACCGAGAGAGCAAACAGTTGCCACCAATGTGGAGGAAAAGGAAGGGTGGGCCACAATTCAGAAAAGTATGCAGTAGACTTTGCAGTGGAACACTTACTTGGTTGGCACTGTGACCTTTTCCATGTCCTTGCATTACTGTGGTCAATAAACCAGGAGGTAGCCACATTATTGGTTTTATTTAGAGTGCCTCACACATGTCTAACAGAATGCCAGTATTTGGGATATTATATGAAAAATAAGATGGGGCGCCTGGGTGGCTCAGTTGGTTGAGCGACTGCCTTCGACTCAGGTCATGATCCTGGAGTCCCGGGATCGAGTCCCGCATCGGGCTCCCTGCTCGGCAGGGAGTCTGCTTCTCCCTCTGACCCTCCCCCCTCTCATGTGCTCTCTCTCTCTCATTCTCTCTCTCAAATAAATAAATAAAATCTTTAAAAAAAAAAGAAAAATAAGCCCCACATAAAACTCACAATGGATTCAGTGTTTTTTATTTTTTTAATGATTCAAAGGTAAAATTATGCGGTGATATAAGCTATCATTAAAAGAGACATTACTTCTAGAGCACTGGGTGTTACATGCAACTGATGAATCACTGAACTCTACCTCTGAAACTAATAATACACTATATGTTAATTAGTTGAATTTAAATAAAATAAAATTTTTAAAAAGTAAAAAGAGATGTTAGTAATATATTGACTTTCGAGTGGGTGACATATTATTTGTTGGAAAATTTTCTTCCATATGCTGTTTTCCACACTTTACATGTGAATAAATGGGCGGAATATTGTTAAAGTTTAGGGTACAACTTTTTCCAAGTTTTGCAAGTTCAAAAATAGCTAGAAATGCAGAAACTGGTTAATGATTCAGTTATTTATAACTGTTTTTATAATACAAGTTCCTACCTCTTCCCTTCTAGTGCAATAACATGAACTCAGTGTGTGAATCCGTTTAAGACCGTATAAGAGGAAATTAAGTTATTTAAAATTCCCACCTATTACTTGAATGCCAAACACAATGTTATAATCAACCAATTCATTTACCAAAAATTTATTCAATATTGACTCTGTGCCAGGCACTGTCCAGGGATCAGTGATTACCCTCAAGAAGTTTACTTTCTAGACTGGGAAGATGGTAAATCAATACACAACTACCACTACAACGTGTCAGTTGGTAATAAGTATGAAGAACAAAAATGAGGCAAGGCTGCTATAAGGACTTTGTATTTTATCCTGAATGAAATGGGAGGTCTTTGGGTGGGGGTAGATGTAAGCAGGATGACATGATCCAACTTCTGTTTATAGACATTCACTCTGGCTACTGGGTGGAGAGTATCCATTGAATTACTACCCCCTCCCCCAAATTATATTTCATTTAGGACAGTTCTGCACCAGTGGGCCTGGAGATGTGATCCTTCACAGTTGATTCTTGCCTTTTCATACTCTCAGTGCAAAATCAGTTTCTAAAATGAAATTCTTATATCCAAAGTATTCCTTAAAGAAATTTTTTCCTGGAAAACTACTTTTAGATACATTCTCTCTAAATGGGAGTTTATCCAAAGCCTACTTTTTAATAATTACTTTACTTTCAAGCTACTTGGTTATCAAAATATTTCTGAATAGAGTTTTAACATACCTCTTTTTTTAAAGATTATTTATTTATTTATTGACAGAGAGAGAGAGAGAGCACAAGCAGGGGGAACGGCAGGCAGAGGAAGAAGCAGGCTCCCCGCTGAGCAGGGAGCCCGATGCGGTGCTCGAACCCAGGACCCTGGGATCATGACCTGAGCCGAAGGCAGACGCTTAACGACTAAGCCACCCAGGCACCCTAATATATCTTTAAAAAAATCAAGAGATACCTAAGAATTTTTCAGGGGAGCTCTGTCTCTTATTATATAAATTAACAAGATTGTTTGAGGTTTTGTACTGGTTTTTTTTTAAACCTCCATAATAAGGTATAATTTAGTGTTGGGCTCCTTATAATACTGGTTTATGTTATGAGGTAGTTTGGAATTCCTTTTTTATATTCATTGGTTTCCATTGGCAATGATTTCCTCTTCCACCAGCCTCTACTCCCCCAAAGTTAACAGACCCGTTAGAGAAGTTTGTACCACTCCAGCCCAGGGCCCCTTTTTTACCCCCATTGTATAGACACACACACACACACGCACGCCCAAAGTCCGTCCCTTCTGAGTCTTCCTCCCTCTGGTTTCCTCCTCAGAACTAAAGTTGTTTTTTTATTGTTATGTTAATCACCATACATTACATCATTAGTTTTTGATGTAGTGTTCCATGATTCATTGTTTGTGCATAACACCCAGTGCTCCATGCAGAACGTTTCCTCTTTAATACCCATCACCAGGCTAACCCATCCTTCCAACCACCCTCCCCTCTAGAACCTTCAGTTTGTTTTTCAGAGTCCATCGTCTCTCATGGTTCGTCTCCCCCTCCGATTTCCCCCCTTCATTCTTCCCCTCCAGCTATCTTTTTTTTTTTTTCTTAACATGTATTGCATTATTTGTTTCAGAGGTACAGATCTGTGATTCAACAGTCTTGCACAATTCACAGCACTCACCATAGCACATACCCTCCCCAGTGTCTATCACCCAGCCACCCCATCCCTCCCACCTCACCCCCCAACTCCAGCAACTCTCAGTTTGTTTCCTGAGATTAAGAATTCCTCATATCAGTGAGATCATATGATACATGTCTTTCTCTGATTGACTTATTACCCGCAGTATAACACCCTCCAGTTCCATCCTCGTCGTCGCAAATGGCAAGATCTCATTCCTTTTGATGGCTGCATAATATTCCATTGTATATATATACCACATCTTCTTTATCCATTCAGAACTAAAGTTTTAAATTGCCTTTCGAGTCTATCTATAACATACACAATAAAAACAGTTTTATTACTTCTACTTTGCATTTAACCATACTGTTAACTAACTTGACCAGCCATTTTACTCTCTATATTTGGATTTAAGGGACTTGTAACGATTTCAGAAATCAAATACCCCTTGAAAGGGCTGTATTTTTACTACTGGTAATAATATTCCAAGAATGTGCCACAGCTTGGAAGGCAGATTCAGAAAGGGAGAACCAAAGGTATGTGTAGCAACAGTGGCCCCAATTAATAACTGATTAGTCTTTGAAAGGGTCACACCTCATTTGGAAATAGAAGTGTCATCTTGATTTTGCCATCACTTCCTACCTGGTCCTCCTGCTTCCTTCTATTCTTCACCCCTAATAATCCATTCTCCTCACAGTAGTGAGAGTTATCTTTTTTAAAAATGTAAATCAGATCACATCACTTTTCTGCGTATGACCTTCCAGTGGCTTCCCACTACAGTTAGAATAACTACCGTGGCCTTTAAAGGACTCTCTACTCATGATCTGTCATGTACTGGCTCCATCATCTTCTCTGAAAACTGTCCCCTTGTTTCCTGGACCTCAGTCACACTGGCCTTGTTCTTCCTTTAATAAGCCAGGCTTGATTCAGCTTCCAGGCCTTTAAACTTGCTCTTCCTTCTGCCCAGAATGCTCTTCCCAGTCTCTGCATGGCTGCCTTCATCTTGAGAGTCAGGTCCCTGGCGGCTATTCAGTTCATACTTACTCTGCACATCCGAACAGGCAGCACACCTGTGCGATCAAGGTCGAAAAGCCTCTTATCTTATCACTTGCAGATGACAAAAGGTACAAATCACATCAAGACTGTATGAGGCAAGGGATTTGGGGGTTTTGCACACAGTCCTATATACTCATGGTAATTTTTTTTTTTCTTTACAGGTTATTTTCCGAGCTTTGTCACCGCCATACGATGCCGAGAACCCTTACAGTGCCAAAGTGCAGGAGCAGCTGAAGATTACCAACCTCCGCGTGCAGCTGCTAAAACGGCAGTCTTGTCCCTGTCAGAGAAATGACCTGACTGCAAAGCCTCAACATTTTACACATTATGCAATCTATGATTTCATTGTCAAGGGCAGCTGCTTCTGCAACGGCCATGCTGATCAATGCGTACCTGTTGATGGCTTCAGACCGGTCAAGGCCCCAGGAGCATTCCACGTGGTATGTAAAACAGGTCCTCCCCTGTGAAAAACAAACCATGAGTTACCTTCAGCTTTGGGCATTGGTCATCTAAGTTCCCTCAGAGTTGGTCTGTGCTCACATAGCCCTTCCTGTTTCTCCCTCGGCTGATTCACTCCTCCGACTCCATACCCATCCTAAAAAGTGCCAGTTAACTTGTTTTTTAATCTTCAATTTTAGAATTATAAATAGTCAGGCATGATAACCAGATTCCCGGGAACACATCCATGCCAATTGTTAGTACCATGACCTTCAGATACGAAGTGTAAGGTGAGGAGCAAGAAGGGTTGGCATAATCATACTAGTGGTATTATCACATAGAGCCAGCTTGGACAGTAAATGGGGACCATTGTTGAGTTGAATTTTAAAATGGAAAAAACAAGAACCTCAGTTTAATGCCTGGTATCTTTTGCTGTCCGGCTAATAGAATGAATAATAATTCTCCTCTGTGAAGAGTGGCCTGACCCCCTGTCACTCTAAGCCAGAGTTAAACCCTCTTTCCTCTACGGTCACGCACCCCCTTGTGTTTTCCTCTGAACTTTTACTTGTCTGCATCTCTTGGGAGATCACAAACTCCCAAGGACGGGGACTGTGTGATCTTTGTATCCTCAGGACAGTGTGTTAACTGAGCCAGAGTTAGGTGTTTGGTAGGTGTTTGATTGAATGATATCAACACAGGAATAGAAAAATGATGAAAAATTACTGTCATTGTCCTCACATCACCTTCTCCCCTCCCCCCGCCAAAAAGACACAAAGTGGCTCAGACAGCAAGTGCCTTTTTGGGATGCACCCAGAGCTATGGCTGGGGATTGGGCAAAGAGAAGGCAAGGAGGTGAGCACTCCGATTTTTAAATTTTATATTTTACTCTGATACTTCTGTTCAAAACAAAAAATAAATAAAAATTTAAGACCTCAGATTTTCCTTACTTCATTTCCTAGAGAGGAGACTTCCACATTTGTCTTCTTTCTCCCAGCCCTGATAGAGGACAGGGCCATAAGGGACCATGAACCAGTTAGCCAGCAGAAGAGTTTGTGTTTGCTGGGCTAAGTCCCTGGGGTGCACAACAGCATTGGGGTAACGAAAATGACTAGGGCAGCGACCAGAGTTCCAAAAACAGGAACAATGCTATTACTCTAGAAACGAAGCTGGGGCTTCCAAGTTGGAGAAAATGGAGCACTCACCCAGCAGACACCTACTAGTTTGCAGACACTAATGGATCTTTGAGCTAGCATTGCTTCAAATAAAGGATGGGATAATTTGTAATACCTAAGTTAATGGGGTTTAGGTATGATTCACCTAGAAAATAACCCAGATATTCTAGAGATGTGTCAATCTACTAGACCGTAAACTAGAAAGTTGGTGTGAGGTAGAATGCCAATAAATTTCTGCCATTATATTTCAGTGAATGAGTGAAAGGAGAGCATGCAGGCTGCAATGGGCTGAGTGTTTCTGCCCCTCCAAAATTCATATGTTGAAAACCTAATCACAGTGTGATGGGATGTGGAGGTGGGACCTTTGGGAGGTAATTAGGTCATGAGAGTAGAGACCTCATGAATGGGATTAGTAGCCTTAAGAGACCAGAGCACTAGCTAGCTCTCTTTCTGCTACATGAGGATACAGTGAGCAGGCAGCAGTCTGTCACCCAGAAGAGGGTCCTTACGAGAACCTGACCCTGCTGGCACCCTGACCTTAGACTTCCAGTCTCCATAACTGTGAGAAATAAATTTCTTTTGTTCATAAGCCACAAAGCGGTCAAGGTATAAAGCCTGGAAAACTGCAAGCTGAAGACCAACCCCACTGGCCACATGGGCTGTGACTGTCTCTCCAGATGGATTCCTCTGTGCTTCCAGAGGCACGGCTGGCCAGGCCATGCTGTGGGACCTCCACAAAGGCAAGTACCTTCATATACTAGATGGCAGGGACACCATCAATCCCTGGGATTCAGCCCCCACCACTATTGACTGGGCTGCCACAGGCCACAGCATCAAGATCTGAGACTTGAAGGGCAAGATCATTGCAGATGAACGGAAACAAGAAGTTATCAGTACCAGCAACAAGTCAGGGCCGCCCCAGTGCTCCTCCCTGGTCTGGTCTGCTGACGGCCAGACTCTTCGCTGGCTACGCAGACGACCTGGTACAGGTATGGCAGGTGACCATCAGCACCCCCTAGAAATATATGCCAGAGTTTTAGAAATTAAAAAAATGGCTTTCTGACTTAAAAAAAAAAAGAATTCTATTAATTCTGCTAAATTCAAAAAGGGATAAATAGAGTTAACAGAAACTTTTACAAAAGTCTTAAAATATAACTATTCTATACGGTCTTCTGCCAGTAAGAAAGCTGTCAGTCTATGAGCCTGAGCCTCCACGTCTGCATCACTCGCCCACCACTCCATTCTGCCACTACCCACCAAACCTCTTGCTTCCACCATGGCGTTGTGCATTCCAGCAGTGTCCTATCCAAAATCACTGCCACCTTCCACCCCAACCTCACCAGCTGGCCCCTGCAAGAGTCAGCTCCTGGTGAGCCCATGTGGAGATGGGGCCCCAAGATCCAATCCTGGGAGTCACAAAAGCCTGTAAGAGACACCAGCAGTAAAAAGAAGAATCTGGTAGGTGGTGCCTTGGAAAAGCCTTATGTCCTCCTAGTGTCTGGAAGGCAGAGGCCTAGATTGCTGCAAAAAATTTGAACAAAGAAAATCTGCCCCTTGCAGGACTGGCTGAATTTTCCAAGGCATCTATAGAACTAACCCTGGATGAGAACGGCAAAGTGTTGAAAATTGGCTAGAATGTCACTGTGCAGACCATTTCTGGAACTGAGGCCTTAGGGATCAGAGCTAGTTTTCTGCAGAGATTTTTTAAGTTCAGCCAAGATGTCTTTCTGCCCAAACCATCAGACACACCGGCATGCAGCTACAAGGTTATCACTACTATGACCCCAAGACTTGTGGCTTTGACTTCACAGGCACTAGGGAGGACATTTCAAAAATGCCAGAGCAAAGTGTTCTGCACACTCCTGCCCACAATCCTGTAGGAGTGGACCCTCATCCTGAGCGATAGGAGGCAACAACAATAGCAATGAGAAAAAGAATCTCTCTATGTTCTTTGACATGGCCTACCATGGCTTTGCCAGTAGTGATGGTAACAAGGATGCCTGGGCTGTGCCCCACTTCACTGAAGAGGGCATTAGTGTTTGTCTCTGCCAGTCCTATAGCAAGAACACAGGCTTCTATGGTAAGCATGTGGGAGACTTGACTGTGCTCTGCAAAGCTGCTGATGAAGTCAGAGGGGTGGAGTCACAGTTGAAGACCTTGATCCATCCCATGTATTCCAGCCCTCCCCTCAATGGAGCTCAGGTGACCTTGACCATTCTGACCAGCCCGGATTTTCAAAAACAATAGTTGCAAGAAGTGCAAGTCATGGCCAACTGTATCATTAGTATGCGGATTCAGCTGGTCTCCAATCTCAAGAAGGAGGACTTCTCCCACAATGGGCAGCACATCCCCGACCAGATTGGCATATTTTGTTTCACAGGGCAAAGCCTGAACAGGTGGAGCAGCTGACCGAGGAGGTCTCCATCTACATGACAGAGGTCAGCCGCATCTCTGTGGCAAGGGTCATCTTGGACAACTGGGCTACCTTGTTCATGAGATCACCAGATCACCAAGTAATTTCCCTGATGAGAGGGAACAGAGACAACTGTCCTGTCTTCATCCTCTGCACATGTGAGATTCACAGGATGAGGAAGGGTGGAGGTGATGAGTGGATCATTTCTTTCAACCACAGTGATTGAATGTGTTCCTCAGAAAAGAACATGTACTTAAACGGGGCAGAGGCATCCATAGCTGGTGTCTGGAACTGTGTGGCTTGAAACCGAACTCTCCCCCACCTTTTTATCCACAACTTTTCTGAAATAGTTAACATGTATGAGAAAGTCCTATCCTTAAAGAACCCATTAATCATGCCATTGCAATATTGCAGAAGCTTTAACTTAAGTACTTTATGGTCTTGAGAGGTCCTCAGTGAACCCAGCATGAGACATAGCCCTTGTTAGAGGCTTTGTGAGAAGACCTAATCCTAACATTAATAATGGTCAGCCTGCTTGTCTTCCCATGATTGGGCAATCTTATCAACAGACCATATTAACTGAAATCGTGTTTTATGAAAACCAGGGTCTGCTGCCACTGCAGCAAGGAAAATAAAAGATATTGTTTCCTGTTTTGTTTAAGAAAAAAAGTTTCGCCTTTTTAATGCTTACAGGCATTTTAATGCTCCTCTCTTTTCCCTTATCTGTGCTGCCCTTTTCCTGAGGCACGAAGATCTATAACTAGCCTAGATTTTCATCCTGTTCTACTGGTTGATTGGCCATCGACCCCATCTTCTCAGGATTTATTTATTTGAAGAATGAAGGACATAATTTGCTATTCATCCCATAACCTCATCTTTCTCAGCAAAGAATAGCGAGAGTGGGCAACTGCACCTTATTTTAGCATCCTTTTTAGTGATTGTTTAATTTTCTCCTGTTGGGTTGTTGCCTCTGCCCAGTGGGACCTCATCCTTCCATTCAGTGTGGTTGTGCAGTCCATCATCTCACATCATGCGGGTAATACCAGGAAACAGGATATTCTGGACCTTGGCTTTAACCTTAGTGTGCTGCCAGCTGGGCTCAGGCTTCACCCTGGGAAAGATAACAACCATTTGCTCTAATCATGTAGACTTATTGCAGCCTGGGTTCTCTGTTATAATAAAGTTACTGCAGGGCCCCTCTCCCTGCCCCCCAAAAAGAAAACTGTTAGCCTATTGAAAGGATCTGGATAACCAAGTAAAGGGGATTATTTAGTATTTTTTATTTTAAAAGGATGTGGGAATGAGAAGTCTCTATCCTAGAAGACCCTATGGGATAGAGACCACACTTCCTTACTAATCTCAGGTCACTTTGAAACTGGAAGCAACTGCCTTTTAAAGTTGCTTTAACTTTAACTTT